CCCCAGCAGTAGCCCTCCGTGGGGGGTGCCCAGCTAGCGCCCCGCTAGGCCCCTGCGGGGGGCGCAGGGCCCCCCTCGCGTCACGGTCACGCCTGCACCCGCCCCCCACCGCGCGCCCGGGGCCCGCACTAGTGCCCGCGGGGGGCGCCGCGACAGGACAGGGGCCCGGGGGCGCCGGGGCAACATTCAATAAGGCAGGGCAGGGGGCGCTTTCATTGCCCTCTTCCGGGAGAGGAGGGACGGAGAGAGGACCTCACAAAAATTTGAACTGTAATAATTTTTTTTTTAGTGGGAATATGTATATTCCTTTTATGAGCCCAGGCTTAGAGTCTCTGGAATGCTTCTTTCATTCAAACATGATGACCGTCTCCTCCGCAAGTGCCTGGCCGCTCGCATCAAGGAAAAATTGCGAATTCCCTATCCCCCTTGCAGGGACCTGCCAAATTGAGAAGAACTGCTGTAGCCGCGACGGCTGGACGCCGACTCTTCTATCGCCCTCCCCTGCTTCTCTTGCTGCTCTTCCTGCATTTTCCCGGCTCCCCGCGCGGGTGCCCGGCTCCGCGAGACGACTCTCCCCCGCTCTCCTTCCTTCCTCTCCCGCCCAGCCTGCCGGACGTACGTGAAATAGTTTTAATTCCAATACGAGCCACACGCGCTGCCCCCCTGGCCCTGGGCCGCCCGCCCGCCCGCCCGCCCGGCCCGGCGCGGCGTGGGGTGGCGGGGCCCCGGCTAATAACGATAATAATAATAACAGCAGCGGTAAGGACCCCCGGAGCCAGACGGCCCCGCCCGGAGCGGCCCGGAGCGGCCCGGAGCTGGCGGAGACCCCCCGCACCCCGCGCGCACTCTTGGCCGGGACTGTGCGCCCCGGCCTGCTGCAATTACAGACATTCCGACATGCGACGCGCGGCGTCGCCGTCACTCGACGCACAGGACGACGTCGACGACGACGACGCAAATGACGTCGTCGACGCCGGGCGCGGCCCGCGAGCCTCCGCCGCCGCCGCTGCCCTGGTGGGCCGCGGGGGCCCCGGGCGGCGCGGGC